ACTCCCGGGAATGTGCCAAAGACCTCTTCCTTCCTTTGAAAGGTTAAACAAATATGGTTGTCTAATGATAACCACATGCATAGAGCCGTTCAAGTTTATTGGAGGGAACGGAGAAGAGTTGATGTTAAGCACTGCTGTTTAACACAGGACTCCCACTCTTCTGAGAGGGTAATGGATAGTACTTTTGTTACATGCGCACAATTTAGAAGGGCAAAAAAAGTTATCTTTAGATCCTAGACGCTGTCATGGTTGTGCTGCCATAGTGTGGCAGTGACAGTCTGCAGGAGAACAGAGAACAATTTATGTTATATGACTTGTTTGTCTTTTTATGTTGTGACTTCAGAAGCACTGATAAGGAAAATGTCACACCCTTTTGAAGTGGTAGATAAGGCACACACTTAACTGATAAGAAACCAGACAGAAAATGAAGTGATTTGTTGGGAGCCACAAAAACACACCTGTGTTAAGAATAAATCTTAGGCGTTCTGGTCTCAGTTGCCTCACTTAATTACAAGAATATTCTCTCCTAAATATTGACATCATGCACAGTCTTTTTGTGTTGCTGCACGCATGTTTGTCTCATTTTGCAAAGTGTTTTCTGAGTGAAAAAAAAAGGGAAAATATTTCTTGGACAGAAAAAACTCACAGTGCTGTCAGAAACACTGAGAATCTGCTGAAGGTTTGGGGGTTTTTTTAATTGTGAAATATATTGGCATGAAAATAAAGCCAATAAATAAAATGAGTACGGCTATTGCAAGCATTAGAAATGGCAAAACTGAATAAAAATTAATGACACCTGGAGGTTAGAAATGTTAGGTTCTTTTTATCTATCTTGTTTCTGCACCACTAGAAATCCCATTTAAGTATTTTTCATATGTTTACATGTAGTATGCACAAGTTTGCACAAATGTACAAAGATGCACAGTCCAGATAGAAATCCTGATGGCTCTTCTGTAAACATCCAGTTCTTAATGGGTGCATGTAGTATCATTCTCTGTGTTTGTAGAACATGGAAAAGTAGTTGTAGGATAAATGATTAATTCACTTCAGACATAACACTTTTCATGCTTCATCTACAGTGAGGTTGATGTATTTTGCTTTACAATCTGGCTGCATCCTAAATGCCTGTACAAATTTCTGAAATAGGCTTTTCAACAAGTAAGTCTTTCCTGGGAGTACCAGCAATACCTTAATGCATCTTAATCAGCCCAGTGGTGTGTCTAGTCTGAAATATCTGCATCACCAACTTGTTGGCTTAAGGAAACAGTATTAATAAGGTACATATGAATGCAGGAATAGAAAATTCTTAACAATGAAAGCAAATATCTCTTGTTTAATAGATTGTGTACTGGGTTCATGATCAAAAAGGACTTACATGTATTGGCAATGCATACTAATTTGAAACTTAAATGAGTATAAAACACATTACAAAGAGACAGAGTTGATTGTCCTGAGTTGTAACTCATTTGTTAGGGAATGGCAAAATAGTAAAACTAATACATAGGTACTAAAATGACTAGTCTAGTGCAAGAGAGCTTGAGGAATATAATAGTGATTTGAATTGCTGTAGCATTATATTAATGAGATAAGTCTGTGGTTATATATGTTCTAGTTAAATTATCTCTATTATGGCACAGGGTTTAGCTGCAGAGGATATAGAAGGATCATCAAAAAGAATTGTCAGAATATCTGATTAGATTGAAGCATGTCATTTACCTTCAGGCATTACAGCAGTCTGTAGTTTCACTTGCGGAATTTCACATACAAGTGTGCGCACCATGTGGTTTTTGTTGTATTGAGAATAAATTCTTTTGCCCATGGAAAAATATTTCCTGCTTGCTTTAACTGGTAGAAGGAAATTCTTGCTGAATCTGTAATGATGGGGTCTGTCTCTTAACGTACAAATATTAATTTCTAGTTCAAAGTAGAATATTGTCTTCTGTTTTGTGATTGCATTTTTTATTTATCTGCCTGATGTAGAACATAAGGATGTTAATCAGATCTGTCTGGATTCCCACATATTGATCTTTTTGGATCATAAGTGAAGTGAACTTTGTCTGACTTTCATCTCTCAAAAAGGATATTTATCCACTTCATGAAACCACCATAAAATTCAGTTCTCTATTCTGGAGAAAATCAGAGGTGGTATAGGAGTGGGTTTAGAAAAAGCTGAGTTTAGGGATCAGGACTGAAACAGGGACCTTGGTTTATGCCTTATTGGCAAAGTCGCATGATGTTTTAGGCTTAGGTACCTATAGTTGCTGGAAGGTAGTATCTCATAAAGATGACTGAGTTGTATGGGCAGTGCCTGCTTGTTTCTATAGCTGGTTTTATCTGTAGCTTTTCACTTTAAAAATCAGATTCTCAGTGCAAACTGATGACAGATCACTAGAGTGAGAGGAGATGCACTTACACATTCTCACTTGAGAATGTGGCCCAGACTGCTTCACGGAAACAAAAGGGAGGAGAAGCAGAAGCCGTTTTAGTTTTTACTCTTAAATCTATTCTGTATGCTTGAAATGGAAATATGCCCGTTCAGATTTCTCATTTATTTATCTCCAGATAAGTTTTTTTCAGTGGAATTGCATACACTTCCTCCTCCTTTGCCCTGAATGCTGGTGCCCTGTAAAAGACAAAGTCTGGTACCTGTCTGTAAACCCTTCGTTGTCACTGCTGCCGTGGAATCCGCCTAGATGATGTCTTGACCTTGTTTACCAGCTTTGGCTATTTAAGATGGCAGCCACTTCAGCGCGAATGTCAGGAATCCCTCTAATGCAGTAGGCCCCCGTTCTAAATTTACTCTCCTTATGGTTTATGGTCCCTCCTCTGTGGCTGCAGCAAGAGGCCCCCTTTTTATGACTCACCCCTCCTGCCCCCCTTCACTCCCCCCCCTTCCTCGCTCGCTCCCTCCCTCCGGTAACCCTTTGTGCACATCGCCTGTTTGAAAGGAGTGCTCGCTGGGGGCCTAGCAGATCAGCTGCCACAATGTGCTCTTTTGTTGCCGCTAGGTACGATCAAATTCGAATGAAATCCTGTAATTCAAATTAGGTTAAAAGGCTGTCCTTGGAACTTTGCAATTTTGGTATCCCAAGAAGCTGATAGGGGCCTCAGACTGAAGCACTGACAGGAGAATAGTGCTGCTTTTCTTTTCAAGTGAAGTTAACAAATTATTTTGCATTTGACTTTGGAACCTTTATAACATCCTGTTAGCCAGCAATAATTATTGTTATAGTCAAATGCCTAATAACAATAGTTATGGTTAGCTTTTGTTGAGGGTGGTGTGTTTTTTTTGTTTCTGTATACAAAAAGGCATAAAAGGGACACATACAGGAGGGCAACTATAATTTCTTTGTACTGGGGAAAACTGGGAAACACATTAATTAATGTAACAAAAAAATCAGCCAGTGATTTTTCCCCTGCCTATGGCAGCTGAACACTAGTAGTGGTACATGCATGTGTGTGCAAGTTTTGGGGGGATGTTCACAACAGCCAGCCTTAGCACAAATGACTTCTTGAGGACACTCCAGGGTACCTAGAGTTAGACTTCTGCTCTGTACTGTCCCCAAAGGAACCTCACTCTTACTCTCTCCCCCTCCCTGCCCTTTATATATAGAAGCCGAGACAGATTTGTTTTCTTCATGAAAAATTTTTGGATTTCCCCTTTATTGGAATATGTGCTCCTAACTCGCATGGGCGTTTTCAGAGTATTACACAGGAAAGACAAGTTAACTGGAAGTCTAAAAGCATTTTTTAGAGACAAGAATTACTTCTGTGGAAAGCTGTATTAATGGGAAGTTGATCAGAAGTTTTCTCTAATGCCTCGTTATTTAATCTGTGACATTATTTCATCCTTAAAATGGCCACTGTTACCTTAGAATACAAGCATGTTACATACCAGAAAGTTAGTGTAACTTTGAAGGTACTAGTTGTTTGGGTCAGTGGGGAGAAAACATGATTGTGCTTATTAAATTGCTTTGGCTTAACAGTGGCAGGATGTAACCTTGTAAGCAGCATCTCATGAGTTGTATCTAGTAGCACGGCCAATGTTTTTCTTTGTGCAAAACTTAAGTCTTACATGCTGTTCGTTTGCAAAGAATTAATTTACTAGTAAATTTGCTTCAGTAAATTACTGAAGTTTTTAATAATAATCTCTAATTTCTTTCCCTTGTATGGCTTCTTTGCTTGATGGTGTTACGCAGTACACTGGGGAAGGCCGCTGCAGAAGAAAACTGGCACTGCTAAGTACTGGCTGGGATTTTATAATGTGACTCAACTTGCCAGTGTTGCAATGCTGTTTTCTCTCCCATTTTGTCACATACAAACATACTATGAAAACCATTTACAGAGTAGCTTCTGTTCAGCATTCTGACTACATAGCTCTGCTGTCAAGGCTCAGGATGTAAGCTGATTGCCTGCAAAGGGCAGGAAAATAGTGTTTAAAGCATTTTAAACAGTGCTGGGTGGTGGTGAATTATCAGTTGTAGTTTCTTACCCTTTTGCTGAGGAATCAGATACTGATCACTGCCAGAGGGAGGGTGGTGGGACCGTGAGTGAATCGTTTGACCTGGTACTGCAAATCCCACGCTCCTACTTTTACATGGAAAGGTATCATTTTCAATATGGTACTTTTATGATTCATAGTTTCTGAATCTTAATATAGACAGTTCTTGCAATGGCCCTCGAAAGACTGTTCATTTTCTCAGGCGTTTGCTTTGCACTTAGTATCAGTGCAGTTATTTCACATTAAACTTGGGTCACAGAAGCTGCCGTGTGAGAGCAAGCCATGATTAAAAATGGAGGATTCAGAACTAAGATTCCAACTATAGCAGTGTGGTAGAAGATTTTGTCCTCAGCTCGGGGCTTACAAGAGTTGCATGTGTAACTTGTTGATTGAAAGCCCCTCAAATTAGAAACTACTTCCTTCCTATGACAGAAGACTGGCAAAATACTATTTGGACTGCTAACCCATTTCTTCTGAGCTGGTGTGAGCTACCAATCAGTCTGGTTTGTTGTATCAGAAAGGGGTTGCTTGATTCCTCACGAGCACCGAGTTGGATTTTGCATTTAGGTAATGGGCATCAGGTGTATGTCATTTTTGTTTGCATGCAATTAACAAATACTTTGTGTGAATACCTTTCATCATTGAGTCACATGGATTGAAAGTTATGTTGCATAAAAGATGATAGTTACTATTTTGGGAACTCTTATGTAGGTAAGTATTTTAATATTTTTTGACGTTATTTCATTGTTGTTAAAGTGCCCAATTGAATTTACTCACAAAAGAGAAAGACAAAACTAATGATATACAACAGATCATTAACTGACCCATAAAGGGGCAGTCTTCTAGAAAAGAGTGGAAGCTTTGGAATTCTTTTCCTGTTATATTTTTGGACAGTACTAAAACTCAGGCTTTGTTTTGAAGATTTTTTTCTCTTCCAGCTTTGAAGCAATGTACTTATACCTAGAGAAATTCGAGACTGTACTTGTTGAATCAAGGGAGACAAATGTGATTTGGTGCTGTCATGGTTCTACTTTGTAAAACTGCATGTCAAGAGGCAAATAACATATAGATAGGTTTTCACCAGCCTTACTATTTTAGACTAGGATTATACAGAAGGCTCTAATGGGTACAATAAGGGTCCAGCTACGCCAAGCAGCTGCTGGGGAAACTGAGGTTTTAAAACTCATGTTTCTTAGTTAATTTAAAAAGTAAAAATATCTTGTGTTTTATTTGTACTACAGGTTGCCTTTGCTTGGTTGATACATTAGCAGGAGATCCAGAGGTTCTGCAAGGAGATGCTGAAACATACTATGAAAAACTCTTGACGAAATCATCGTCTGCTGCTGATGTTTTTTCGATCCCTGGAGGAGAGGAGGTAGTAGGTTGATGATTTTCATACTGCAAGTTAGATACTTACAAACTAGTTTGTTGGTTGTGCTCATAGCCTGTCTGTGAATAAGGGTAAAGTGGTGTGGCCAGATTAAAAATATCTTAAAATCAGCAAATTCTGCATTATTTTAAATAGTTTGCATGCTGCAAATGAGAGATAAGCTTAAACTGCAAGTCTAAAACCCTCTGAGTGTGGATGAGGGTTTGGCATACGTAGCTGAACTTTGCACCTTGACCAGCCTCCTTATAAGACTGAATCAAAAGTGAATTTGATAGACATTTATTCCTTGGCACAGCTCTGTATTCTGTCTCTACTGTGCAGTTTACACAGGTTTGGTGATATAGTCTATCTTTTGTTTCCATTCTTTCCAATACTTATATTGATAATTTTGAATATGGGTTCTCCCAAAGGAACTCTGATCAGATGTGATTGACAGATGGCATAAATACTGTAGGTACCAAAGCTTTAGGGTCTATTCCTGAGCCGCCTGGGGCAATACATTGGAGATGACTGAGCAGGACTATTAAAAATTCTGACTTCAGTCAACCTATGAAACCTTTCATTCTGCGCGTTTTCTAGATCATAAAAGGTGTGCTGGGCTAACTGTTACTGTACCATCAAACCAGTAAGTGGATTAGTTGAAATAAATGTTTGGACTACGGTGGCTTTTCTATAATTTAGGAAAATAATATGCAGTAGTTTCCAGAAAAATGCTGGTTCAGGTGGGTAGCTTCATCTTTGAGCCATGAATGTAACTAGCTTTAAATACTCTTTTAATGCCCTCTAGTGGGCCATGTAGGGTTAAATACAAACAAACCTGAAAATGCAGAGATCCTCCAGTTTAGGGCTTCTCCGTCCTTACCTCAGTCGTTCATGGCTGGTTATACTTTCAGAGACTCATTTGCTATTCCATTAGAAGGGAGGGTAAGTTAAAATCACAAGCAGTGCTGTGTGCATTCCTGAAATAGCTAGACATAGTGAGATCAGTTAAAGGTGGGCTTCTGGCTTTTGATTCAGAACTGTCTTGATTTTGTGGCTTGTCATCAGACCTTCAATATATCACATGACTGATTTAAGTCTCATAGCAACACATTTCTCTTTGCATTCATTTAATTCAGGTCTAATCTAATCTGCAGTCAGCTAGTCAAGGGCATAAGTAATGGTAATGTTTTTGCTGCATGGTTTTTTCCTTTTACTCTATAATAAATAGTTCAAAGAATGTTGATATTTTGTAATTAAAAATAAATTAAATGTAATAAAGTAAAGCTTCCATCCACAGTGAAAATCTCAGCTAACAATCTCTATTATATACCTACAACACAAAGGATGAGGGTTTTGGTGTCTGAATAATGGCTGCAGTTACCAGGCTTTTTTTTTTTTTTCCCTATGGATCCAAATTAAAGCAGGTTTCAAGTGGCAGGACCAGCAACCATGAAGAATTATTTAGCAAGTGTTAAGTTGCTGTCAGCCCACTTGCTGTGGTCACAGAACTTCTTTTTGGTATGGCATGGTCTTTGGTCGAGCATTCAGTACACAAATAGCAAGGATATTGCAAGTCAGGATGAAAGCGCCTTGGCTGCGTTCATACACAGAAAGCTATGCTTGGCTCATGCTGATGTTGTTAGCACCTGTGAAAGTGCACATTGCCTTATAAAACAAAATAACACTCATAGCAGTATTGGAAATAGTACTGGCCTTTTCATTATAGTAATGCTCCTAGGTGCCATAATGACATCAGTGCTCTTACATTTGAAGCATTCAAAGAGCGACTGAATCCCCAGAACATACTGAGATTTCAGGAAGCTCATGAATACAGATTTCAGGCAGTTTTCAGTTTTTTTCCTGGAGTCCAGTGTTTGCATAGATGATCCCGGGATTCTGGAACTCATAAACTAGTGAACACTGGTTTCAGCTTAAAGTTGTTATCTTGAATAATCCATATTCATACTACTCCTTCCATGCACCAAGAACTATTAAATGTATCACATGACTGATGTGAGTTTCATAGCAAACTGACAAATGGGTGCAATTAGAGAGAGAGGCACACCCACACATACACAATGGACCAGATTTTTGAAAGTACAGTACATACTGTGCTAAATTATGCACGCTCTTTGCCTGTACCTAAACTTACATGAGAGCATTTGCAATATTCATATGGAAATCGTCATCTCTATGCATATAGAGCTGTTTGAGCACAGTAATTTTGTGTTTATGTGTCACATCATTTAGAAGTTTAGTCTAAGACTGAGAGCTAGAGAGCTGCATTTTGATTTTAGCTTTGCCTTCAACATAACCACCTTGTGCCAATTATCTACCCTCCCTGTGCCTCACAGATAAACTGCCCAGTCACTGCCCTAATGCTTTGATACTCCCTGTACCCTGAGGCTTAATTCATTGTTTGCAAAACACAACAAGTACTCAGCTGGACGGTGCTGCAAGAATTGCAAGTTATATTTGTTTTTATTTGCTGTTGTATTTTTTTTTTATTTGCTGTGTCGGGTCTTTCATAACACCATTTGTCTGGATGTAACAGTGTTCAAAGCCAGGTTATGTACTAATAGTAAGTCAGCACTAAGGTCTTCACTAACTTTGGTAGCTTGATTTCTTTTAAATTAATATTACTTACTGATAATATTAGAATATTATGTATGTTTCAGAGCCTTGAAGTTCAGGGTTGAGAGGGTGTTGTGCTAAGCTTGTACCATGCATGTTAGTAAAACATCTTGCCAGCTTTGCAGTACAAACAGCTACAAGGCTTGTTTGTTTTTTAGGTTAAACTTGAAGATTCCTGTGTGTGTTTTGTCCCTCTCTACCGAAATAATCCTACTTGCAAAATGCTGCTGTTAACTCATCCAAAGGATAAAAAGACAGGTTAGAATTGGTCAAAATATTTTGAAATTTGAGTAGTTGTACTTTCTTCACTTTTAAGATGGTCTGCTTGTTCATATATTTAAATATTTTGGGGTTGTTTTGAATATGAAGTGGATTCAGTTTACCTGTCAGGGATTTGTGTTGGTGGGCTACTGATGAGAAGAGAGGATTGACAATCAGGGCTTTTAAATTCTATGCATAGCTGTGCTGGTTGCTGAAAAATCACCCTGGGTAAATCTGTTATTCTTTCTGAGTTTGTTCAATGGGGTAGTATTTTTCTAATTCAGGATGATGTGAAATTTAATGCATTATAGTTTGGATAGAATTCTGGAATCCTTAAACAAGAGCAAATATATATGTGAAATTGTATTAGGTCTTACTGATTCTTACTCATGTTATTTTAACTTTAGGATATCCTCTTCTGTCCTAGATTTAAATGCCTTCTATTTCCAGTACTGGTGTGTGAAGGGTAGATTTGGAGTGAGACCATGCTCAGGAATTGAGTTAAAACCATTTTAGTCTTAAAGTAAAGATATTCTTTAAACTCTACCAGCTCCCTTGCTTCCCGCTAGTAATGCTGGTGTTTTCCCATTACAGCTATGTGTCAGCTTGACAGGGATACACTACAATTGTGTTACAGGCAGCAGAAGTCAGCATGTGCTTACTGGTGTTTCTGTTTCATGAGTCACTGCTTAGAATATCAACAGGTAGTTAAGATTTGATCAATAATTGTATCTAAGTTTTATCTTCCTCCTATCAGGATCACAGTATCTTCAGACACAGCCTGATTTCTTACTACTTACTCTCTTAGGCAAGTGTCTTTGATTATGGAATGTGAAAAAATGCAAATGTAAAATAAGTAACAGCTCTTGATACCACTGTCATTAATGGGAAACTTGACTCCAAGTTGCGTAATACGAAAAGCCCAGGTTGTAACCCACCTAGATTAAATGAGGAATGTTGGAGCTGTTGTGAAGCAACAGGCTATAGAATTTCTGGAACATCTACAACAAAGACATGAGCCTGTGCATTGACTGGCTGTGTCACTTAGGGAATACAGAACACATGAAACCTCTTAAACTTTCAGTTTCCAAATGTGGCAGCAAAGTAATGACATCTGTCATTAAAAACATACTTTTTTTTTTTCTTTTTTTTTAAAAGGATAAGCTATAAATTATGCCTGAAGGGCTTTAATAGCCAGTATTCTTAATAATAAAACAATGGCAAGGCAAAGAAGTTTAACACTCTATGGTTCAGTTCTGAAGTGTGGCAGGTAACATTCTTACACTCTTAGAACAGGTACTATTAGTATAACTAAGTGTTCATTGTTCAGTCCAAACCCCGTAACCAGGAAATTTCTTCGTAAGAACAAAAAACAGATTAAAATAATCGGTGGTTAGAAGTGAATTCTGCAAAGTTTTCCAGCTCCTTTTACATATGAGTTCCACTGGACGTTTGCTAATGGCTTGTGATTCACATAGTTGAAGGTAGGAGACCTTTCCAAGTTACAAGTGTAGTCAAAGACTTGCTGGTCCCTCTAAAACTATTGATATAGAATTACTTTCCTGACATGAATTTATATATTCCATTAACATTTTTCTGAAGAGAGATAGGCACTGGTGTGATAAAAGAGAGAAGTGTCTACACTGGCAGCCAAACTTGCTCTGTGAGTGCAGTTGTGCATACCTACTGCTCATACTCAAAGGAATGTAGTTGAAAACAGCATTAAGTTAGTTTAGGCTGCACAAGAGGAATGAGGATCTGTAACAACTACCATGCAAAAATAAAGAATTATTAAATAAATGCAGTTGAAAGCAGTGCATTTAGCACAAGTCTTCAGTTAAATGATCTAGTAGTATTAGGAACAAGTATTAATGAGATGCATGTACACAAGGAAAAAATTATTTCCCACAGGAACATGTCAAACAAGTCCACATTGGAGCCTAAATTATATGATAGCTATCTACATTAAAAGCTTAAACCTAGCAGAATAAACACCTTAGTATACTATAAACAACAAACTGACTGACTACTGTGACCCCCTTGCAAAACTTTAGCTTGAGTCACCAGCCCATAGTCGCAGAAACAGTCTCACAGAGATCGTAAGTCTAGTTATTTAAGTAAGGCCTACCTCATCTGGCTTTTAATACTTCTTTTTAAAAGTGTGATTTACAGGACTTTACTGGAAGTTCTTTGTTTCTGGATTTTATATGCTATAAACAGGTGGCCAGCCTTCTTACACACATCAAATTTGACTGACGTGATTTTTTTCTTTTGATGAGTTTGAATAAATTTTCATTAGTTCTCTGAAGTCTGCTGGGATGTGTGTATATGTGTGTGCATGCCTATACATATAGGTATATACATTTGAAGTATTTTGTCCAAATATTTTTCCCACAGTTTAACGGATTTGGAACGGACTCTTAAGGCAGTGGACCATGTTAATGTGTCAAGTCCATCTGGATTTGCTTACCTGTATGACCTTTTGTTCTGACCAGTGAACAGATCAAATTGTTTCAAAACCAATTCTTTCAGAGAAAAGCAATATTTATTAACTCAGTCATTGTTATTTAAGGATACGGGCAGAAAGTTAAAACACTAACCAGGCTGTGTGATTTTTTTTTTTCCCTTCCCTTGAGCTTACACTTTTCTTGTGTACTCGAGTTTCATCCAGATGGGAGAGGCAAATAATCTTGCTGTAATCTTGTGATCTCTTCTCTTTCTCATGTGCTGTCCGGTGTGTCTGTATTTTAGTTTTACTTCACACCAGGAGTGCTCTTAGAAGGAAATTTCCTGGTTGTCCCTACGTACTGTGCTTCAGTTCATATCAAGGAGCAGTCTCAGAGTGCATGAACTGGATTACTTTTGGCAGAAATGGAGTTAGGGGATGCACTCCAGAAGCATACTGATGTGCCCCAACCTCTAATGGGCTTTTAGTTTTCAGCACCAGGCTAGAATTTGTGAATTTCAGGTTTTCTGCACCAAATGTTTTACTCTCTGAATTCAGTTTTGTTAGTGTTAGTCTTGCTAATGCAAACACGGCCCACTGATTTTTCCTCTTGCAAGTCATTTGGACATTTCCGAAGTCCAGTGGGGGAAGGCAGCCAAGGGTGTCCCCGGATATGCTAGGGTAGAGGTGCTTTACTGGGAGCAATTGGAAACAGAGTAGAAGATGCAGCTAATAACTGTGTAGGGCATGTTTAGTTCTGTACTTCTCAGGTCCTGGTGTGGACAGTGAATCAGCAACAAGCGTTAGAATCCTCATTGCTTGGTTCTGCCACAGCTCACGTGATGCTCTGAGACCACATCACATTGCTCCCGACAGCCACAACCTTCCTCTGCTCCAGTGGTTCTACAGACTGGCGACTGCCAAACCCCTAGCTAAAGCCATTTCAATTTAGTTGTCTTCTCCAGCTCCTGGAACCACCAGTTCCTTCAGCTTCACTCCAACATCTCCACCTTTGCTCCTGGTGGCTCCCCAACATCCCTCACCCCCTAAAATGAACTCTGTACTAAGCCCTGACAATTGCTGGGGTTAACCACACACCTGGGCAGTACCTTAATCTCAGTGAGAAAGCTGTATACCTTGTAAGTCTTATGTTCCTATATGATAGAATTTCCTCTTTCAGCTTCATTTGCATTAACATCTATAATGGTTAAGTATTGCATAGGTGAAATGATGTATATAATACTTATGTAATAATATCCACTGTAATATACTTATTTTCCCACAGTTCCCAAGGAATATATTGTCAATCTAATAATTTGTTTGAAATTCTAACGATTTAGACTGGAAAAAATACTGAATTTAGTAGCCTAGCTACAAGTTTACCTATGAAGAGCTTTAAAGTTTGATGCCATTTAATTCTTGGACATCTAGGTTAAAGGGGGGTTGATTCCAACACTGGGATTTATATCTGATCATCTTGATCAGATGGGTTGTCCAGAAGTGATGCGTAGCTTGGGGTCTGAAATGACCTGCATTCTCTTGAAAGAGAAAATGGATATGGTAGCTTTTTGATAGAACTTGGTCTTGGTTGGGAGCATTTTTAATTTATTTTTGATGGGCTGAGTGTTCTGTTCTGTTAGTATATCTGTACAGATATTTTTATGAGAATGTAAATTCTGTTGTAAGGGCTTACAGAGCATAACATGGGTGATTAACATCTTTATAACACTAAATAAACATACCCTATTGTGGCATTTTCTGTATGCTGTATATAATAATTTACAATAACTGTTAGACGCCATGGAACATTTATCACAAGACATTTGCAACAAATCACTGGGTAAAACTCGAATTGTAGAAGAAAATGTAATTGGTTGCAGGAAAGATATCTATCTTAGATACTTGAACGGCTGCCATTACTGCAGCATCTGCATGCCTCCCAAGCTTTAATGTATTTATTTCAATAAGGCTCTTAGGAGAGAGAGAGAGAAATGCTCTTATTCCCTTTTAAAGATAGAGAACTGGGGGACACAGCTATTCAACGTTGCAGAACACAGTTTAATATAGGATCTCTGAGCTTGCTCCAGTATCAGAGCTGACCTAGGCTTGGTTGCATGGAACTACTTGTTGGGGTAATTTACCTCTGTAAGCATGCCATCAATCTGAAATACTGCCAAAATTAAGGTGAAGATGACTTTATCTAAGGTAAAGAACTGGTACATTCTATATTTATTCAACAAACTCAAATTACAGCTCTCATTTATAGCATTGCCTTTAATTTAGATTGTGACCGAGGGATGCATTTCAGCAATTCAGATGAAGGAAGTACCAAGCTGGATGTTGCTTTAATTTTTCTGCTTTACTCTGTGTGTAGAGTCCTGATGTGCACATTTCATTCAAATAGTTGCACACCAGTGCGGGAACGTTTGGCCAGCATAGCCTAGAAAGTAAAAAATATAATCCAGACCTGGGTTGGGAAGGGATCCATGTTTGCCTAGCAAAAGGAGAGATTTCATAATCACAATTGCATTATGCTTAGTGCATAATTCAACTCAAGAGTTTTTCAGTACTGTATTCCAAATATCCGTAGTGGTATGGAATTGTGTGCTTCACAGGCTCTCAGCTTCTTGCAACACTCTGAACGTATCTGTCTGACTGCAAGTGGTGAAAGTACTGAGGTTTAGCAAGCTAGTGCTTACAGGGCAAGCCACCCATCCAAGCATATATATGCTCCACTAATTGTGAACTGAAATGTATTGGACTTAATCCATTTCACCTAGTTTTGCAATTGCAAGATCAAGCCCATCAAGTCTTGCAATTTCAAGATCATTGTAATCATGTACATTGTGATTCACAGGGCTCAGGTGATGATTTTAACTTACTGGCGGCAATAACTTGATCTCTTATGATCAGGTGAACATAACTGAATGTCTCGGAAAGAACAACAAGGCTGGGAAAGGAGAGTGAAAGAACATGTGGTCTCACAAAACATGTTTGCATTTGAAGTAGTGTTCCTCAAAGTTGATTATAAAATGAAAAGGGGAATATGGGGAAGCATGGATGAATTTAACTGCGGACCAGATGTTGACTTGAAAAATTGTAACAAAAAGCGAAGTACATATGTTTGTGTGAAATCTGCAGAAATGTTTTTCCTTCAAGGAAGGCATCCATATAGATAAGGTTGCTCAAGTAATGTGATGTGACAGTTGCTATGTCAACTAGTGTTCCCTTCCACACATTTAAATTATTGAATAGCACATTAAATGTTCTATAAAAGTAGCTCCTTAGAACATGGTTATGCATCTTCCTATTCTCCTCAAAGATTTTAAAAACTTTCCTGACCTTTGCTGTGTGTGTTGTATGTGTCTGAACTATGTGCCAAAGCTCTGTGCAGCTCCCATTAATGTCAGCATTTGGCCCATTATGTCCCCTTTGTCTGACTCAGCTCCCTTTGTAGCTGCATGTTTTGTGGATGTGTAATGGAGCAGTGGCTGCTTGCATTTGAAAGCAGAGCGAAGGGATTTAGGGAACAGATTGAATCCATCACAGAAAGAGTATGAAACTCCCATGCAAGTAAGTGCATAATATTTAATGAGTTGAATCTGGTGCTATAAACAGGCATCTGCCCTTGCGTGCAATACTTCCTTCATTGTTAACCCAGTACACAAAATGTAATGCTTTTTGGCACGTGCTTTAATAATTTATTTGAAATATAAGTTAGTTAAGTGGAATCTCCAGCCTTAAAGCCAGTGGGAGCTGGTAAAGGCTGAAGCAAAAGGGGAAACTAACCTGTAGGCATCAGCAACATTTGTATAACCTGAGGCTAAACCAGGTAAATGATGAATCCTGTCAAAGCCATTTCACTTCCTTGTGTGTGAATTTGTCTCTAACTCGTAGATGGTTTTAAACTTTCTTGTGTTTGTCCCTAGCTGGGTAGCTTAGAACACTAGCAGACGGTGCGCTCTCTTAGGACTCAAGAGGTGTGACCTCCATGCTGTTCTTTGCAACATACTTCCTGTATTATATTTTATCTTTTTGTCTGAAAATGGAGATGCTGGCTGACCTATTTGAGGATAGTAAAGATACTGGTATTCTTGAGCACCCCTGAAATTGTGGCCATGTACTTTCTTCAGGTGGATGTCACCAGTGTACAGATAACAGAAGTTCTTTTTGCTGAAATATTTGCTGCTTGATGTGTTGGTGGTCATAAATGATGAAATTTCTGTGTTTATTCTGAAACCTAACACAAACCCTTAAAATCTATTCTATATCCTTTGAAATAACACTCTGTTAAAACTTTTCTTTCTGAACAGGGCTTGGGAGCAATTCACTGTTGCTGCTTCAGTCTTTCTCTTGTAAATCTAATGGCAGGCAATGAATTCTGTAGATGAACATGTAGGATTGGGGTTTAAATACTTGTTTCTGCATATATGAAAAATTCAGGAAGGATGGGAAGAAGTGGGGTGCAAGATTTGCATAGCACCTACACAAGGACCTGACTTAGGTGTAGGTTGGTCATGCACCTTTGCTTCAGGGCAAAGTGTATCTTATTTATCTGTGCATATGTCTGTCCTTTGTTGATAGAAACCTCTGTGTATGCATTTGAACCTTGTGAATATCTGTCCATGCAGAAATTTAGGAGTCGGTACTCTAAAGGTACAGATGTATAGAAGTTCAATCATATGGGCAGCTGAAAAGCTACTTGGTAAAGCAAACATGAAAACTTCTGTGTTTGACTTGCCTGGGTGCAAATACGGGCACGTATGCATGTGGGCAGGAGAAAGTCTGAAAGAAACTTCAAAAATGTAACCTTTAGCTAGGTGGCACGCTTTGTCCCAAATGCCACTCAAGTTACTGTGCTACTGAACAGATACTATGCAGGAAGTGCTTTATTCATGTGGCACACAAGTTGTCACACCAAAGTCACATCAATTCCTGAGAAAAATTACCTTCACTTGATGCTTCACGTGGTACTGAAAAGTGGGTATCAAGAGACACAGAAGTTAAATTGAAACACGGTTGTCATTCTGCTGTCTCACAGGAGATCAAACTGGAGTCAGCTGGAGGGAGAAGTATATCAGAGACTGCTTATGGAAAGGTTCAGAACCGACTTTGTATTTAATTGCAGGTAAAATGTTCCCGTTTTTCTCTTTTTGTAGTTTTGGCAGTTTATTTGAACCGGTGTTGGTGGCCTGTTGAAGATGTAGTAAAGACAGCTGATCCTTCTAGAGATGGGCTAATTTCGGTAAGGATGCTGTTTTAAACAGTTAACCTGTACCCTGGAACTTTCCAGCTGGAACAGTCATGTGTAATTGTCTCTGGTCTCCTACAGCTCATGCTTTATAACCTGTGGGATCTGGGCTATGTGGCTCACGAAGTATTTCATATGTCTCCCGTTGCACAGTGACATGCTCGTTAACCCTCTCTGAACAATTTTGTGCACGCAGTTTATGATTCATCTGCGGGATTTATTAGCTTTTGTTTTTAGTTTACCCTCACTGTCTACTAAAGAACGAATCAGATAAACCGAGTTACTACATTAGCAATAACTCTTCACATTACAGTTTTGCTTGACTGACTGATGAGAGGTGTAACTAACATTTGGAACAATGTTTTATCCAGCTAGTTATGGTTTTTTCTTGCCTTGAATAATGTTTATACTGTGTTCATTTTATGAAACGGTTGTTATTTAATAGTTTCTATATCTGTAATTCTTTTTCCAAATCAATTATCTTAGCAGGATACAACTACTGTTTTGTAATTCGAGAGATTTGGGTGGCCTGTAGTCTGTTTTCAGCTAAGAAGTCGGAGGCACATGAGCTTTGTGTTGCCATGAGACTACAGTTCTGTTTCCTACCCAACCCTCTGTGTCCAGCTTTGGTCCTTAAATGATTCTGTTCCTTTATCATCTTTCCCATCATCTTTCCCTAATATCTGGCATACACAGAGTTTAATTATTCACTGAATTAAGTAGGTTTTTTGTGGGTAACTGAACTGGAGGGATTTTGAGATACAAATCCTTGCAAGATAGAATTTTGAGCAGAAATGGAGGCTTTCATGATTTTAAGCATCTGCTGTATCAACAGACAATGAAAAAATATCTGAAAATAGAAAACTTGCCCTTCCTAGCTCATTGCTAAAAGGTAAGTTGTCATTATTTGTGGAAACTCTCTTTTTCTTTTTCAGCATTCATATAAGGCACCATGTTTTACCTTGACCAATATGATCTCATTCCTTTATATTCCTCCATCTCTCTGTCCTGTTGGTTGTCTTGTAAGAAGCATGGCATAAAAAGTAATTGTTCATGTTACACCTAGATTATAGGCTGTTTGGGACATACTGTATTTATTCTCTGTTTTGTATTGTGTCTACCTAAGGTCCTGGCCCACTAAAGTTCTTTAATACTGTGGCAAGATGTAAAAGGGGAGAGGTGACCAGGATAACACAGTGAATCCTGTCTTTATTTCACTTTTGGGTAGGATTAGAATGCCTTGATCCTGTTTTCAAATCTGTGACTAGTTCGCTGTGACTACAGTCAAGATACTTCTCTTCCTGCTGCTTTAGAATTCCTCTCTGTGACAATAAGAGAGATGTCAGGCTTTATAAATTGTTACTAAATTACTCTATACCCTCTGGATAGAGGGTGGAACACTGGGAAAAACTGTTTTTGTTATTCTATCTGAACCAATTCATGAGGTATTTTCCCCAAATTAAGTGTACAGTTTTCCTGGCCTCCTCTTTCCCAGCCCCTTTAAATTTTGAAGCCTTTTATGAAATGCAAAATACTATTCTCTGCTTCATTTTTCTTTAGTCTGTTTTTGTTTGTTCTCGAAGGTCCAGACATTTGGAGAAAGGATTGTCCTCTTTGTTCTGAACTACATTATTTTTGGAATGCTGGAAGGGAGTTCAGCTAATGATGCATTCTTTCTACCTCACTCTGCCACTGAGTGTGCCAAGATACTCTGGAGAAATGGTGAGGCTGTTGCCTTTTACTCGGTCAAGATGAAAGGTAAGGTCATTTTAGAGACACATTTCCATTGGTTCCTAATAGCTAGAAATGTAATCTTTTTGTTTATCTTTCAGTATAAATAATCCTGGCTCTCATTTACGTTTTTATATCAAATCTCTCTCAAAATGTATCTGGGGAACAAACCTTCCCAGAATATGGAAGCCATCCATATTACTTTCATTTAAACATGATGGCTCCAAACTCTATTCTCAGCTACACTGAGTGATCTGAGGTGCTGGCTTATTCCAATAAAATATGCTTTAATGCAGCCAAGTAGAAGGTTGTATATCTAGGAACAAAGAATGCAGGGCCTACCAACAGAATGGAGGACTGTGGAGGACTTTTATTAAATAGAGAGTTTGTATTAATGCAGACACATTGCTATTAACTAGTCTAGAGTGGAAAGGGCTTCATTAGAATAACTCTGGGTATGCAGTTGAGTACGTACCCTAATGTAGGAGCTGGTTACCAGTGTCTGTTTACAATTCATGGGTGTCATCTTGATACCAGCAGTTTAAAAGTACAGAAGTTGGTATCTTTGGAGGTAAATGCATTATTCAAGTCAGCAATCAGTAGCCATCTGTCCAAAAGGGGAGAATAAGAAACCTCTTGAGAGCTGTACAGATACGGATTGCTTTGGATTCCAGAGAACAGTCTGAAGGTGCTTTCTCTGATAGAGTCTCAAAGGCCAGCAACAATAAGAGATGTTCTGCTCTTCTGCTGCCTTGGGATGTGCAAAATTCTTATTCACACGGAGTACACCACTGTGCTGGTACAGCGCTACTGTACTATCAGTGATGAATCAAGTCCCAGCCTATGAAAAAGGAATCTTGTCTATATCTGTGAAGATGCTCATGAACTGGTTTGTAATTGGCAAACGCTTGAATTGCCGTAGTACATTTTCCTATAAGTCCTTAAATATTTCTGAGCAAAGCTTTTGGAAAGAAACATTTGTATGGGCTGTAGTGATTCATGCTTCAGTAAAATAAATTTGCACAGTAGTCTGTTATGGGTGGAGTATTAGCCAAGTTGAAACTGTTTCTGAGTAAGTTGAGAGTCACAGTTTGGTTTTAAACCAGGTCCACATAAAATACAGATTCTTCAAGTCCAGCTTTGTCAGCATCTGTCTTTTGTTGCCAGTGTTTTTTTTTCTCCAGGCAGCTATATTTGTTAGTTTTTGGCCTGTGTCACAAATTACTGCAGTCTTTTGCCAAAGCCTTTTCGGGAAGCTTGAAACGGATTGTTTTTGCCTCTTTTTGCTATTTGCTGTATGCATTTAGAAAATAATTCTTCTTTCTGAAGTTCTGTGATTTCAATTTCATACCAGCCATGCTCTGGCTGATCCTATTCTCTCTACTTTCTAGAAGAGCCATGGATTTATTAGGCCCAAAGCAGGCTAAAATAGATATCTTCTCTTGGAAGTTTTACTTCACATGGTTGTTTTTAGAATTTTTTAAACTTTTTTTTTTTTTAAAATCATAATGTAAGTTCTTTTTTCTTTTACTATCCTGGTCAGAACATTTAGTAGGGGCAGCTTTATGTACAGGACTTTATATTGTGCTGGATCTCCGTTACAGCTTCTGGTCCTAGGAAGAAATTATTTTCCTCTTTGCCCACTGTGTGATTCTGATTCCCTTTATTTCCACGCTCTGCAATTACCTGGCTATTCTTTATAGTTTTATTTTCTTCACTAGGTAATTGAGACTCTCATGCTGATGTTGTATTCAAATGTATTTCTCATCTGTGAATTTTCTATTATCTGCAGTATGACAAAAAACATGCTTCAGTGAAGCCAAATAAGCCAGAACAGATCTGTGGAGCATGGCTATTTCAAACATAAGTCATCTGGGTGAATCATAGAGACAGTGACCAAGGAGGAGAGAGTCTGTTCTATCTTTGCTACAGATTTAGTGTGCTGTTATGCAAACTAGATTTTCAATGGACTTCAGTGATTCCATTTAACTATCTTGGCAATATTGTAGAGTCATTTCCATTTGCCAGTTCCTGGGTGGCCTGTACAAAGTGAACTTGGTAAATTTGGTTCAGTTCCATCCATCCATCCATCTTGTGAACATCCTTAACTGGATCTCTTCTGATAGCCTAGCTAAAGAGGGACAGATGGTCTTGAGCACCCGCCTTGCTCAGAGACGCAGTAACTGCAAGTCGAGGTTTTGAGACAATTTGGCAACTACTGACACTGGCCATCCTGCACCTGTTGTGTAGATAAACAGAAGACTCGTTCTTCAAGGCTATCACTTTTCGTGAGCATTAGACACCTTTATTAAAACAGAATTTATTCATGACTACACAGATCATCACCCTAGCCTCTCTGCTATGTGCCTGTTACTGTCCAATGACAGGCATGCAGCATTTACCACTGGGTATACTGAAGACCGATGAGAGGTACTAAGCCACTAATGAGGCTGATAAGACACTTTGTCACGTGCCAAGATAAATGTCTGTGATTTTTATCTATGTCAGCGGCTTCCATATTAGACAGCTGAGGAGTTAGACCTCGCTGAATGTAGTTACTTAAAGGTACAATAGGAAATGAAATTTCCCTGTCCCTGTCCCTTTCTTTGCAGACAGCAGCCTGAAAATTAAATGTTTTGCAGAAAGCCTTCATATTGATACTTCGGTTTTGAGATCTGGTTTATATCCTTTTAAGTATTTATTTCAGATTTTTTTCTTGGCATGCTCTAAATCTCTGTGAAAACCTCAAAAAGAATGTGTTTTGTGTAGTGATGTAGGATTAATGACCGCTGTTACTGACACTGTTTTTTGTGCAATAAGACCATGTAATTCCCTGAAAGTTTTTCTTTTTTATTTAGTGAGGACTAGTAATTACTGAAAATGGACTTTTACTGCCTTCACATAAATGTCAGGAGAGTGTAGAAGATTCATAATGCAAATAAATCAGTAAGGAAGTTGGAGGGTGCTATGAGCCAGGAGTGTCTTAGTCCCTTTAAGAATAAAACAGAACAACCCCCCCTTTTTATATATGGCTTTTTTCCCTACTTTTATGTATTACTCTTTCCATAAAACACAGGAGCTGCCCAGTTGTGGACCAAGCTGTCTGCGGTAGAAAAAGCAAAGGAGTCAAGATTGTCAAAGCTTGCCCCTTCCCAAGCTCGCTGTGTCCCTTTTGTCAAACCTTAGTCATAAAAGTGTGGAGAAAGTTGGTGTTCTCTGTGATGTAAGTCAGACCAGCCTTAACAAAATGCGGTCTTCTGAGAAGGCTGTAAAACATGCAGCTGAACTAGGAGTAAGTGCATTGTTGGCTTCTCGTTCATTCTTTAGAGATGCTTCACAAATCACAGTTTGGGAACACCTGACTGCAAAACTCTAAGCTGATATCAAGTAGGCAGCAAAGCAACCCTAGCCCAGTCTCTGGTTTTTGCTGCCCCAGAGCCTTAGAGATGTTCTTTGGAAGTGGCTACCCAAGCTAAAATCCATTTCACACCTTTCTTCATACAAGCCTTTGCAAATTTCTTTTAATGCTTTGGTGGTCCAGGTGGTAATAGAAATAGATCCCTAAAAAGATTATAGGATTTTATCTTTCATTGATTACATACATTTCTTTAAAAAAAAAAAAATCAGAATTGACATTAACCTGACAGACAATTAGCTGAAATCATGTTGGATAATTGCTTTTCTCTCCCTCTGTTTTCTAGCAATAATATTTTTAATGTGCATTTCTGAGGCAGACTGAGGGTTCTGGCTGTAATAAAAATTAAATGACTACATATCAGTCAAGACATGAATTAATTTAATTTTATTGAAGCCAGAACCTTTGTTCCCCTTCTCACATACAAACTCAGACAATGGGTTGACCTTGGGTTCTATTCAGCAGAAATATTCCCCACCCTTTACACAAGCACTCAGCCTGCTCAAGGCCTGTCCAAACTGGATGTGGGGACTGGATTGTTTTTTTTTTTCTGGTTTGTGGCTCTTTGGGAATGCTAATGGCTGTCTGCTTTCCTGCCCTTGTAATATCTGTTTACCATTTTGCTGGCTCAGAAGTTGGTCATTTGGCACTCATGACCTAACCAAACAGATCAAAGGCTTTCAAAGGGCAGACTGTATGAATACTTCCAACTCCATCGCCAATGCCCTTATTTCCCCTGTCTCCTTCCTCACCTCAAAACAAACCTCTGAACCAAATGTGTGAGAGCCTAGTGGTCACCTCTGGGCCACCGTTAGCTTATGGTAATCTCTTTGCTATTGGATCAGAACTAGAGACAAAGTGGCCTTTGTTCCAAAGGTTTGTTTGTTTGTTTATTTTATTTCAAATGGCTGTGGGCTATGACTCTTCTAATATGTTTCCCAGGGACAAGGTGAAGAATGGCTTCATGGTTTCTTTATTTACAGTGCCTTTAGACATTACAAGTTTTTGTCATCTTCTCGACACAAAATTAGGGCCACAGACATAAATCACTCAGCTCCTGGGACTTCTGCACAGCAGTCTTGATCAGGATTTATAGGAGTCAGACTATATGAGATAATAATAAACTTATAAGGACACTTGCAACATGCAGGAATTCTTAAAGCTATTGACTTCATGAGGAAAAGTTTCTCCCTTTCTTAGAATGTATGGTGCAACACCACTGGAATCCAACATCTCTGTTGGGCCAGCAGTTAACAATGGGATTGGGGATATACTCAATTTTTTGGCTCATGAAAAAAGCGTAAATACCCATCATATGTTACAAATATTGAAAGGTTATAAACGCTACCACAAACCATCCTTTTCCAACAATGTGCTTGAACATGTGTTTGACGTTAAGCATGCAGTTTGATTAAACAGGAGTGGACCACGCCTGGATATGAATGGATTGGTTATGTAGCTACATACTCTTGCTGTATGTGGCTGAGCATGTGTGATGTGGATTCTTGCTAAATGGAGAGCTCCAGCCTTGCTAAATCAGGGTATAGAATTAAATACAGTCATGTATGTTTTGCTGAATTGGCATCCTAGAAAAGAGAGTAAACAAAGTCAGGCCTGGCAACTATCAGCAAAAGGTACCAGACACCAACTCAAGGAACTCAAGGACTTTAGTTTAAGATAGCTATGGGGATGTGATAAAGAAAAAATGGATCTATTCAATAAAAGTCTTACACTGGAATTTAGGAACAGCCGTTCAGTAAGAGATCTGTTAAATTGTGAGATAGGTCTTAGTGAAGTGATGAAAGTTTCCTGTCTCAAGACACTGAAAACTGGACTGAGTGGTACACTAGTAAGTAGTAAGAAAGAAAAACGAGGTGACCTTGATGGGAGTTAAGCAACAAAGTAAGAAAATGTAATCTTTTTCTGTTATAAAGGCCTGGATACCCATTTCTATTTAAACTGCCATGTACCCAGATAGAAGCAGCATAAAATCTTTATAAATATTTTTTTTAAATGAAAATAAATCAGCAAGATGTTTCTGTGGTGCCCTTATCCCATATGTATGTAGTTGGTGGACTGATGTTGGTCATTCATTTCAGGGTTGAATGCTTATGCTATCAAGTAGTTTGAGGTTCTGCTTTTATGGTATTCTGCGCTGAATAGAAGTTGTGAATTGCTAATGTACCTCCTGCAATAGGACCCTAAGTTGTTTGGGGTGAACATTAAAATTTTGGACCCTGAATGTCTGTTCTTAATCAACTTTCTCTTCACTCCAGTTTGAGTTTACCATACATGATTGCAAAATAAATCCCTTGGTTCTAATTTTTTTGACAGTTTTCACTGAGAACTGAGTTTTAATAGTTTGGAGGCTTAGACTTGAGTCTGTGTTTTGTCCACATGTAGAGCATTATGTCATGTCCCCATGATTTCAAGTGACTGACTTGATGTGTTTATTAGCAAGGACCGTCCTTGAGTGAAAACCCTAGTTTAACACTGACAGTAGTAGTTCAAGCAACAGACTAGAAGCACGTACATGTGTGGTAAATTACCACTCAGTAGAAATTGAGTGACTTACAAAGGAGCATTTACAATACTTGCTTAAAATGCACCACTTGGTTGTTTATGGCTTTGGCCAAACGCCTTAATTAATGTCTGTACTCACCTTCCTACATGGGTGTGACTTCTGTGTGCTGCAGTGTAAGGTTGAACCTAAGCTTCTTCAGTGAGTTTAGCTGTCACTTGGATTCTACTCGGTACTTTCTCAGACATGGTTCTTATCATACCATTTGGGGAGGCACAACAGCAATGTATTCAGAGCCCAAGAAAACCTCTTTTCTCTATCTGTAGTCATTGTGAAATTGTTAGCTTAAACAGTTTTGGGAGTTTTTCCTGGAATCCTTCTCCCCTGTCCAGCTGCATCAGGCGGTATAGACCTTCTGACCATTTAGGTCATACTGTGTTGTGTGGGTCAGTGTATTTCATAAAAAGAGCTTGTGGAGTGATTTACCAGAATAAGCAGAAGCTAAAGGAATATACTGAGATTACATTCAGAATGTTTATGCCTCTTTGGCTGTAGCCCAGTTATATCTTTTCAGTGAATTTTCCTATGTACGCTTTCCTTCTTTTTGCACCTAGATGGTCTGATTATGAGGAATCAGAGTCTGGAAAATACTATGGTGAGACCTGTCAACCACATGTTAAGCTGGTCTTCTCAGTTTGAAGGCATAAACCTTCCTCCTGAAAAGTGTTTTACTGTCTATGCAAATGCACTTCATTTGGGGTCATCCTTGTAGTCTGTGGAAAGGTATCAGGGCAATATTTGTGGCTAGAATCACGCAACGGTTAGTTAGTGCAACAATACCAATTTTGTTTTTAAATTCACATGTGTTTTCCTGTCTGCTTTCAGGGAGCCTATGTGATGGTAGAACTGGTCAATGTTACTTGCTGCCAGTTTTGGATACTATATTTGTCCGGAGAAAGTACCGAAGAGATGGCCTAGGGATGAAAATGCTGCATGATTTCTGTCAGTCTTTCATGGCTGAGGATGCCTTGGGGATCAGCTGCCCTATTTCTGCTGCGATGTATCAAGGTAAATCGTTTGATGTGGAAGTGTTAGGTAAGGGTCATGTATAATGTATAAATTCTAATATGGTCTTGGTAGGATTTTCTTAACTGGCTGAGAGTTTAGTGCACTAGTCTGAACTGAACTGTTGTTAGCATGCAACTGGTTACTTTTCTTGAAACACCTGGAATTTCCTGTAGAAAGGTAGGCCAATATTTATGACAATGAGAAGCATAAAACTCATACTGCCTGTTTGACATTTTGCATTCTTATCTTGCTCTCTCTTAGAACTGTGTCATTGCCCTAGACAGTGACTTACCCATTTTATTTGACACCAGAGGGAAAAGAATCGTAAGATGATGTCAAACCTACACTATGCACATAATGCTCTTGCAGATACTGCATTTGTAAGAAATTAGATTTAATAAGCCATATATCTGGGCTCTGCTCATTCATCCAGTCACATCAGTACTTTTTTCATATTGACTCTCTTTGAACATTTGGCACTTTTGGTAGATCGTTAAGTAGTTCTATATCTTCTTTGGTTTTGCTGGTAAAATTTGCAGAAAATATCTGTGCTCACATTATTTGTAAAACTGTTTTCTTTAGAAAAGCATTTTTTCGTGAAGTTTTTCTCTGTATGGCATACAATCTTTACTGTCATTTTTGGGGGGATCTTTCTATTGACTTACAACTTTGTAGCGATTTCCTAATAAGCATCAACAAAATTTTAACTATCTGTTCTTTCTCTTGGTCAGTATATGTCATTGAATGTGTACAAATGTACCCCAATGTATAGAAATGTACCCCAGGAGTTTCTAAGGAAACTGCTTCTTCTAAATTCAGGAAGGAATAGTACTGACCATATTGTTTTCTACTCTCCCAGTAATACCCATTTTTCCTATGGCTTGGACATAAAGATCAATGGTTTAGACACTAAGGATCAGAAAGCTGCACTGTTTATGTGTTAACACTAGCAATATATTGCAAGACTATGCTTTCATCTCAATTAAGGTTAGAGATAATAGTAAGTTTGACTTGTATCGTGTTCTAATTAGGTTTTCTAAGTCCTACTTTTATAAAAATACTAATACTGTAAGTTAAGTTTTGAGTATATTGAAGTCACTGCCTTCTTAAAATTTCATTGGAACCTCAATCTTATACTTTGACAAAAGAATGCAACCTTTTACTCTAAATCTCTGGCTAAATGTGCACAGTTTTCACGAGCGTGTTATTTAATGTTCTACAGAGCCCTAAAAGGAAGTAAAAAGTCCTTTAGCATACACCTCTATTTTGGTATATATGTTACGTTCAATAGCTTGTATTGAAATAGTTAATTTACTTTGCATATCCTTGGATAAAATTAATGACAGCGATCTGCTCATTACTGAGTTTACATCTGAGAGTTCGGGTTTTTGTTTCAACATCCCAATGTTAACCTCAACAAAGTGTTGAAGATAAATGACCCATCTAGATTCATTCGGTAGTATGATGAACCAGAATGGACAGAGGAGAGCATGAAAATACTTTTCTTGTTTACAGGTTGCTGTCTTAGTACAGTTGATAGATCTGATAGAACGGTGGTTAAGGAAAGCTTAAAAATCCTCATTAAATTTTTTTAAGTGTTTGTCCTACAATGTATGCCTCCTCTTGGCTTTGCAGACATCCTAGGGAAAGCTCTAAATAAGACAGATTTCCGTTTGATAACAGAAGCAAAGCTGAAGTTGATTGTTTATCCAAATTACATTAATGTTCAGTGTGTACTGACAGCAATAGGAGTCTGTGGGAATATGGTTTCTCAAGGTGATCATACTTCTGACACAGCTACCCCTGTTTATTCCTCTGTTAGCTCTTCCTATTTACTGTTTTCCACACCCAAAGAAGGAAATGAACCCCAGCAGCGGAGTATAAGGTAGCAGTAGTAAAATGGAAGATGGCATTGGCCCAAGAATGAACTGATACAAAGCTTTTGTTTATAAATAGAAATTTGAGTAGCGTTCCTAATGGTTAAAGCTCGAAGATACTGAAACACCTTTCATTTCAGAGTAGTGAGGGTGAAAAAACCCACACTGCTGTTAGTCTAAAATGTACTAAGTGTCTGGAGATAGTGCTGTGATGCAGTGGAAGAAGAAGGTGGCTCAGTGTGTCATTTCAAGTTCTGTATTTCTGCTCACAAAAGGAAGTAATCTAGACTGAAGCAGATGGACAGGATTCACTTGTGCCTGCTTAGGTCATTCCACATAGACTTTTCCTAAAAGCCTCAGCTAAAAGAAAAAAAGAGAAGAGACAAGAAGATATTTGCAAAGGAACTAATGAAAGTAGGTCTGAGAGAATTTCCAGGATAGAATACACTCCCTCTTCCACTGTACTTTTCACTCATTCATGCTTTTACCCCTTGGTTTCTCCTATTCAGTTTGCCAGAAATTCTTGCAGACTTATCCCGAGGAGCAGAAGCGACTGTGGGAGGTGGAAGCACCAGGAGATTGGAACCAGCGAGTGAATATCTGGTTAAAAATTCAGATGGAGTCATCCCCTGCAGGAAGTGAGTTAAAATAAACAGTGTGAGCTTGGCCGTGTTAGTTATATAAAGAAAAGAAATAAAATCAAGGGTCAGGTAGTGATAATAGGTAGGTGGTTTCTCTGTTGTTTGCACATGGAGAAACTACTGAGTGTGTAGTCCAGTTCACTGGTCTTTTCCCAGTGAATAGGACAGTTCTTAGAAATTATGAGGTAATGAAATAGAACTACAGAGCATCTGAGAGATACTGAACAAAGCACAGTCTTGGCATAAAGTGGCTGTAACTCCCATTGCAGTGCACTTACAGCAGGGTAGAAGTTAGCCCAAAAAATTCCTGTTGCACAACACAATGTCCGGGTTATAGAGAGGGGTTTGCTTCTCTGAAATTATTACAAAGAAGGAATTTGTATGGCCAATGGGCAATGTGTTTAATTACCTTCAATTTGCTGCCAATACCATTCTTGGATGGAAACACAAGCATTTTCATTATGGTTTTTGGAAGATTCAAAGTACTCTCCTACAGGGTAAATCCTTCTTGCTGGGAACATTTTCTGCCTACTTCACAAAAGATAGCGACAGAGTAGGAAAACCTTTTGACAGTTCATATGGGGAGCTTGTTGACGTAATCTGTGCAGCTGGCTTGGGGATCCAGACAGGCCCCTCTGCTGCATGCACACAAGCTGTGATAAGCATTAGGTTCCAAAATCCTAATTTCTAATCTCTTTCTGGAAACGTGGTGAGGAGTGCTGCAGAGCGAATTGCTCCCATGGCTTCCCACATCTGCCCTGCTTTGTACTGGCTTGGGGGACCTTCAGTTGAGACATTGCTTTCATCTTGTCTGCAGCACCCCACAGGAGAGTTAAGTCAGAATTTAGCCCTAGGCTGGGCTCTTCTGAAGCCATTATATTTATGTTCCTCATGCTTTAAACCAACAAAACCCGATGTTGCTCTCCCTTTAATCCATCTTGCTCAGTTCATTTTATTAATGGCAATTGAAGAGAACTACGATCATACCAGCAAACAGAAAGCAGATCCTGGAGGAGAGTATACTTTCCTTTTTCTTTCTTCTTTTTGCCATCTTCTGCAGAAACAAGCAAACAAAGAGAAATGACCCAAAACATAGGTAAATAAAATTCCACCAGAGTGGCTGTCAGTAAAAAATACATGTGAGGCCTGGGAACTCCAATGGCCAGTTACACACATAAATGAGATGTCTCTTATCTACAAAAAGAGGAAGGAGGGCAAGTATAGACCAGAAATGAGGGGAGTGTTTATAAGTATTTATATGGATTGTGAATTGCGGTGTGATCTTTATAGTGGAAGGGAGCAGAAGCAAGTGAATTTGTCACTAAAATGTATAATAAAAATCTGCTTTTTAAATTATATTCTCCATGCTGGTGCACAGCTCACTGGGCATCGCTTTCCTTTATTTGGAATGTGCTGAACAGGCATTCATCCATTGTCAGTGGAAAATCAACCCTCTATAAAAACAGCATTTAAAACAGTGTGTAATACATTCATTGTATCTGCTTTACATAAGGAATCACTTGTGTGCTTCTTATGCTTATATTACCTCAGTACTGTGCCTATTATGCACCCAGGGAAATACCAAGGGAGAGTACAGGACAGGTAACGCCTGCTAAAACTTGGGGAGAGTTTCTCTGGTTTTGCTTGGTCCTCAAGGCAGTGTTACTCCTTCATCGCTCTGTTTAATAGCTGGTGAGGAAATAACAAGAATTTTCCAGGGCTTCATGCTATCTGTTAGTAGTAGATACAGCAGAAACATTTTCTGAGAGCAGGAATCCTTTATCATCTGACTTAGTGTGCTGCTTGCCATACGTGTAAAGAGAAGCTTGCGTTTCCAAGCTGTGGTATAGGGACACAGAGATGAAAATGATGTGGCGTAGAACAGAAACTACTGGAGTTGAATGCTTACCTGTTCCATATGTGCACAGTCATTTAGATCTTTAGGGGGTCACTTGGGAACATGGTGCTTCATTCCTACTTGCTCTGTTACATAGAAAGTAAAACACAGTGTAATTCAATATTGTCAGCTCCAATCTGGATCTATGGCAACAACCACGAAAATAGACGTGTCTTACTCTGCTCTGATTTCTTAGATCCCCATTGACATTTGCAATGCTATGTTTTGGAACAAAATTATTGAGAAGAAAAATAGAAAATTCTGCTCATATTACATTTTTCCCCCCTGTACCTGACTGAATGCTATTGATGTTGTTGTAAGAATTCTGCAATCGTAGGTATTCCAGAAAAGGTTTCTATAATCCTGAGGTCAGAATTTTAAATTTTGCAAGGTTATGTGGCTGCATCTAGTGGCAATACAGATAAATTGCAGCACTCTGTTTACTGCAGCCAATACTTCAATTTGGATGTGCACAGATACATAGACATAGATATACACACATATATTTCTGTACGCATATATACATACATCTATAAAAAGCTCTTTAGCATGTCATCACACATAGCTACAATTGTTCATTCTGAATTAATTCTTACTGTTTGAAAAACAGAGAGATTTATTTACAGCGAATAGTCTCAGTAACAGGAATGTAGTGATATTTCTCTTCTGGGGTTGATTGGAGGAACAGAAATCATTTAGCATGATTTGCTCCTGGTTGCTAAATCTACCAGGCAGTGAATTGAGCTGTTTTGAAGTAGTTCAGGAATATACATAAAGCATGTAAATGTAAAGCTAAAGCAAAAAATAAGCAGACTGAGCAAGAATTAAATTTCAAATGATTGCTTATAATCCTTTATTTGAATTGATCAACGTATCTGCATTTTCTGAAAGGGAGGAAGCGATACGGGTTTTCTTGGTGTAAGAGATAGCTGGGTTATCTATTTAGCAGAACTTTCAAGCTAAGAAAGACCTAGAAACATTTTTTTTCTAGTGTAGTTTTTCAGCTTAGTCTTTTGTGGTAGTGTCGTTGGGCACCCTGGTTTGGTTAATTAACAAAAGCGAGTCAAAGGGGGCTGAATGTTTTAGTTTGATCCCTACTGAAATAAGGGAACTGTAATCGAGCTGGCATACAGCGAATTCCAAGGTTTGTGTATGCAGTGGCTTTCTGAACTGAATTGTGATTTTTTCCTGTGCCTATACAGGGCCTTGAGTGTGACACCTTTAGAATGACTAAGCCAAGCTCTTTATGGTCCTAATTATTTTATCTCACTACTGAGCGGCAGATCTGACCGTGCTTAGCTTTTTGCAGGATGGAGGTCTAAAACAGGCTGAGAGGTTTGAATGAAGCCCAAACCTAGTCAGAGGTACATGTATCTGAGAAAACAAATCACAGTAATGAAGCTTTTTCAAGTAATAAAGAAAAAGGAGAAAAGAGTGGAAGCAAAACAAAGAGCTGTAGGGGTTGTTTCCTCAGTACATTTTGGTTGCCGCACAATTAAATCAGTTTGTTTTCTTCAGACATGGGTCTCCTGGGAGAGCTATGACAGCACTGGCTCCTGTGGTGCACGCTCTTGCGTTATGTGCTGTGGTCATGGCTTCAGAGCCCACCCAGCCAGATCAAGGCTGCGTATACTCCCAGTTTTCTTTATGCTGAAATATGCATGTTTATAGTGGCCTTGGTTGACAGAGGCATTTTATATTAGCATTAAGTCACTGTTTATGTTGTTTGTGTATAATTTGGTGTTCCCTCTGTCTTGGTTCTAATTTCAGGGCGTTGAATACATTCCTGGTGTTGAGAAAGTGGCAGGAGATGCCGCAGAAGAAAAAGATGACACAGCAGGAGCAGGGACTCTAAACTCACAGGGTCCAGAACAAGAGGACTTAGAACAAGATGAAGGCAATACTCAGCAATGCAAAGGATTCGGGAAAAGAGCAGACCCTGGGGGCTTAGTTGGAGACAAGGCCACCAAGCAATTCAGAATTGTACCATAATTGCACTTTCAAAAATCAGCAAAATCTCAGTGTGGTCTGAAAAGTTGTAATTGACTGTTTGTAATTTGTAACTCTGGAGAGATTTCTTCAGGTAAGATATAATTTTTTTGCAAGACACATGTTCTTCATCTTGTGTTTTGTTTTAAATAAAGCTTTAATTTGCTATTTCTCCTTTTTCTTGTAGTTGTTGAGTAGTTGTAGTAGTTGAGCCTAGTTATTTCCCTGCTCTGAAAAGATTTTATTGGATTGCACGAGATGATACATCCAAAAGGGAATAATTGGAGAGCTTGTAGATACTGATGTAAGAAGATAGTTCTATGGAAACCATGTCCTGCGTTATGGGAGAGAGATACCGCAACACACGTTGGTATCAGAATGACAGCTGTAACCTTCCTTTCAAAGGGAACAACTGATCTTTAATTACTTTCATCTGAGCTTTTCTAGCAGAAAAATCTGCCTTAAACCCTGTGGTGGACAGGATGGCATACGAACTCCATTAATGCAGAAAAATTTTGATACGGAGAAGAGTGAGCAAGCTACAGGCCATAAACTGCCTTTAAATTTAGGCACTGTGTTCATGCTATGTGTAAGTTCAGGGTGTAGAACTTTGTGTAGATTACATATGGCATGTTTTATTTCCTGCAGGCTCTTTCCTAATGTTTTGCATTTAATTAACTTGGAAGTATAATGTATTTCACTAGATTACTCATGTTACAGCTTGGTAAAGAAATTTTGTTCTTTCACCACAAGCCGGTTCTGTATTAGAGTTTTGGGGTTTTTTTAGTGGGAAATTTTGAAAACTTGATTGTTGTATTAATGATTACAGGTTAAACTCTTGAGGATCAGATCTTTAGTCCAGTGGCAGAGAAGGCTTTGCAAAGAGGTAGGCTCAGTGGTGAACAGCAGTAGGGTCTTGATGAACCTGAATAGATCCAGCAGCCTGTAATTCTTAAGTGGATGCCTTGGAACAAGGAGAGGTAGCTATTTCTTTCCAGAAACTCATGCAGCATTTCCAGGGAGACAGTTCTCTAGGCAGGCATTGTAGGTACACTGTAGGGATATATATTTTTTCCGCTGTATGGCATAATTGCTCACACATAGCCCTGTCACCCTGTTTTTGTTTAAGGTTGTGATTTAACATAGCATTTATTCATGTATCCAAGTAACTCCTCCCCTGTTGAGCTGCTCAGTAAACCATATGCCTGAGACACATCAAAATCAGACCTTTCTAGGCATCTCTTTAAAAAAAAATGCTATAATTGGAACTTACAAGTTTTTGCCAAGAGAATTAAAAGACTGAATTGTGTGCCAGCCTTAATCATGTTGCTATGGTTCTCTTGTCTCAAAGAGAATGCATTTAGGACTAACTTTATAATCAGTTGATTTTCAAGTTGTTGATTCATCGAGTTGTAAAGGGCGTGCTATAAAGACTGCTAGAAACTGTGTGTCCTCCTGTGCAGCAGCCTACATTCTTACTTAATGTATGGTTAAATACGTACCTTTTTTTTTTTTTTAAATACAATATTTGTGAAGAGTTGCAATACTGGTTGCTCCTAAGTATTATAGAAAATTATTATATCTCTCGCCTCATAAAAGCTGATTCTGGGGTTGTGGTAGCCTAGTTTGCATATAACAGTTTATATTATAATTGTCCAGGTAAGGTAAACTGGAGTTGTTCCAGCAAGTGGGGACTATTAAGAAATTTAATCTGATTTAAGTCTTTCAAGAAAATTTTATCTAAGAAGTCCCCAGGAAACTATATGAATTTGAATTAGAGTAAAGATGGATAAGGTATGTGTGGAATGGGCAGACACCTGATTTGATTAAATTAATTCTGTATCTAGTGACACTTTGAATCAGAGGAAAAAAACTATATCCTCAAACTGAATTTCTGTTTCACCTCTCTGTTATCCAGTGATCCACGGGCTGCTTTACCAGCCACTTTACTGCCCTTCTAACAGGAAAGTTGCTTCTTTCCTCTGTGTAAGAATTGTCTTCCTTGAGTGTGTTTAGCTTTTTGTTTTCCAAGTAATGCTTTTTCATCAAAAATGCTCATGATGGCAACTGGAGAAACAGAAATAAGCAAAGGTACATTTGATGAGATGGTGTTGGCAGATGGCTTGGTACTTTCTTGTCAAAGAAAGTGATCACATCATCCTGCTAATCAAAACTTCTGACAATTAGGGATGTTCTACATTCAGTTCATCTGCCCTGCCTGGCAAATGAAACACACGGAGCAGGAACTGTAGAGTAAGAGGATGCAGACATTTGCCCATTATCTATATCCAGTAAAGAACCAGAGCCAGGAGTTTTGAGGTCCTACTTAACAGTACTACACTCCTGAGCTACAGGTTGCAGAAAGACACAGGCTTGCTCCCTCTTATTTCAGAAATGCTGATTTACAGAACAATTAGTCTGAATATTGATCTTTGTTTTGTTTTTTTGTTATAGTAGTGCTTTAAGTTATCTGATTAATTTAGAAGTTTGGACCTGCAACTCGTTCTTGGCAGTCTGAAGCGCTTCTTAATGAGATCACAAGAATCCTAAGAGGGTCTGAAGCAGAAATAGATCCAATATCTTCCCTGTCTTAATAGAACATAATAGAAAAATAAAAAGCCACAAACCCCAACAGCACAAACATCTTTTTCTCACAGTGGAAGTTCTTTTATTTAAGAGAAATCTGCATTTACTCAAGGGTGGGGTGGTTTCAGAGTGCTGGAAAAGTTGGCAAAGGCTTGAAAGAGCATTCCAATTTTTGGATTAAAGTTTTCAAAACCTTGGACTTAATCTCTCTCTGATTCTACACTCTGGTGGTTGTGGCTTGACATGATGGTATTTCTGCTTAGGAGACAAGGAGGTAAGTGTGCGTGCGTGAGAGTTGGCAGACCTGCTGAGAGGAAATTTGTACCTATTGTACTTATAAGCATAGTCACTTAAGTCTGGCCTACAAGAAAGATGTTAGATGTCAACATTAGTGTTAGCAGTGATCTGGGTGGGTGTGTGCCAATGAAATAAAGTATTTGAATCGCTCTCAAGAAAAGTAAACATACGGATTTTAAGGCTAGAAATTTCATTAAGTTAATCTGTCATGGTGTTTCATATAATGTAAGCCAGACAATTTCATGCATGGTTGCTGTATCAAAAATCATTGGTTTTGGTTGAAACAACCCATTTTTTAGAAAGATTGTTTTGATTTGATAGTTTTGATTTTCAGATGTTGGACAGTGGGAAATCTGCCACATTTGTTGGCAAGTTGTTCTGAAGTTTTGTGTTTACAAGTGCAGCCGATTTTTTTTAGTCCAAAATAATTTTATTTTAGTCTCCTATAATGGATTTTGCTTTTCTGTTTAATGCTGAGCTATGGCTCTGGTACCATCAAGATTCTTTCAGCGTGGGGATGGATACCTCGTGGTCCGTCATGACATCAGTGAACTGTACTGTTTTTTGGATCTGTCTCTGTGAGGCAGATTTGCTTGACCTTGATTCATTCTTCTTGTCCTTTCAGAGACATTTGCAATTTTTCAAATTCCTCTTAGAAGCCTAAACATCATCAGAGACCCTGTTCCAGTTACAATCACGCTGATCGTTCTGGGTTAGCATTTCCCAGCAGCTATGACCTGCGGTTGTAAATAATCATGGGATTCTTTTGTGCTGGTGGGTGTCTTAATGGTGAATATGCACTGCAAAACTTAAACGACACGGAGGAATTAAGAGGTATCTGCTTTACTATATTGTCTTTAATGGCCACAATGGCTACAGAGTACTACTGCAAATGTAGCCGATCTGGTGTCATCTTTATTATTACCACGAGATGGCACCATTACATAGCTTAACATTGTCGTCATCCTCGGGAGCTTGGTGCCCAAGATTTAAATACATCGTTGGTTGGCTTGACTTCTTCAGAGAAAGGTTACCGGTTCAGAGAAAGGAGAGTGAGGGTGTGGTAAAGTTTGTCTTGTGTTTGCCATTCAGTTTCATTGTATCTGTGGAGTTTATCTCAAGTGGGCCCAGCACTGGGGTTTTCAAGTACTTGTGACGCCAAGATGAGTTGGGCTTGTTCAACCTGGAGAAGAGAAGGCTGCGGGGAGACCTGATTACGGCCTTTCAATACCTAAAGGGGGCCTATAGGAAAGATGGGGAAAATCTTTTTAGTAGGGCCAGCTGTGACAAGACAAGGGGTAATGGTTTTAAACTAAACCAGGGTAGGTTTAGACTAGATCTAAGGAAGAAATTCTTTACAATGAGGGTGGTAAAACCCTGGAACAGGTTGCCCAGAGAGGCAGTGGAGGCCCCATCCCTGGAAGCATTCAAGGCCAGGTTGGACGGGGCTCTGAGCAACCTGATCTAGTTAGCGGTGTCCCTGCTCCCTGCAGGGGGGTTGGACTAGATGACCTCTAGGGGTCCCTTCCAACCCAAAACATTCTATGATTCTATGAAGTCACAGAGTAGCACGAAATGCAGACTGCACCCAGACTGTGTCCCTTCGTACTCTTGTCTCATCAGGAAGCCTGGGTGGGACTTTTCCTTGTTGTATTTAGTGATTTCCCAGCACCAGATGGTTATCTGCTCAAATAACATCTAATTTTCTGATTCTGACCCTTCCCTTGTCTACTACATACTTTGCTTCAGAGTACTACTGAACATTTTTCTTTTTTTCATGTAATAGCAGCTGCCATATAATGTGCCATTAATATTCTCAGCATTAGAAAAGTGAGGATGGTCCATATTTGCCCTAAGGGCTAAGTTTCTTCTTTGCTACTATGTTTTGTTTGTGACCATTCCAAAGGAGAGAAGAGCAGCTTAAGCAATCAGATGATTTAATTTCGTTTTTATTTTTAAATTTTTTTAAAATTGTTTAATGTTTAGTTTAATCGATATAGTAAAGCTTCGGTACAAACATGGAGTTCTACATTAAAGGCAGTTTTTTTATCCTAATCAAAAATTGAAATGCAAACATTTCAAAGCCTTCCCTGTTCTTTCACTTACTCTTTGTAAGCCCA